CGAAAAAAAAGCTCCCTGCTTCTGTTGGAGCCGAGCGAGCCACATCATCTCCCTCCAGGGGTGGTGCAAGCGTCTCGCTAAAAGCCATAAATTAAAAATAAATAAATAAATAGAAGCGAAGGGAGGGGTGCGGGGTGGGGGGAAAGAAATCCCAAAGAGAAAAGGCCAAAAGGAAATGACCTTCCCTGCTATTAAATAGGTGACAGACGGGTATTATAAATGCATCGTGGGTTGGAAGGGAAAGGAAGGGTGAGGAGGTGACACATAGGCCCCTCTGGCTCAAGGAGAAGCCAGGAAGGGGACAGGACTGTGGACGAGCGCAACTGCACGGTGGTTTTTTGGCGACAGCCGGGACAGGCATGGCAAGACCGCTGTTGGCAGGACGCATCCAGAACAGCAACCAGGAAAAGAGAGAGGCCGCAGAGCGCTGGAGGGAGGGAAGGGAGCCTCAGATCCTCTGGCTGCACCGAAGGGACACAGGCTTGGGTTGCATGGTCATATTTTCCAGCCAACTGCAAAGAGCTATATTAATTCCTCCAGCCTTCACTTGCCTTTGTGATCGTAGGAAGGGTTTGCAGAGCAGCAACATCCTGTTCTCCAACATTCCCACCAGAGCCAGGGCACTATCGGAGCTTTTTCTATTTTATGGGGAGAAGAGCAAACAGACAGAAACTAATTACTTAAATAATTACCTAATTACTTGCTAAGTACTCCCAACACACCCCATCTCCACTCTGGGGCAGGTGCAGCTGAAAATTCCACCAGTAGTTTGTCCACAGGCTGCCACATAGCTTGCAAAACACTTCATCCCACCACCTAGGGCCAGAAAGTTCCTAAAACTTTTGGGGTTTAAGAGGATCAAAGCAAGCCCCACTCACAGAAAACGCCAGGACACAGATTTGCTGAGGAGCTGATTACCAGAGCAGTCATTCTCTCAATAGCCCAAATGGGAGATGATGGGAGGGCTGGGGACAACCTGTCTGCTCCCACCCAGCCTGCAGCACTGCTGCTGCCCATCACAGGATCCTCCCTCCCTGGGCTACCCTTGGGAATTGTGTCCTGCTTCATCTGGTCCACCACACACATCCTGCCCATCATCCAGCCTGTCAATGCAGTCAGTTGTTGGGTGTATGTTCTTCAGCGCATGGTGGTCTCCTCGGCCATGTCTATATGGTGTAAGCTCCTGGAAGAGCCAGCAGCAAAGGCCAGAGCACACACGCAACTGGAGATAAGCACCATTCCCTGCCCCCCTGCTTGTTTTGCCCAGCCTCTGTCTCTCGCTGGGGAGAGGTAAAAGCTTTGGGCAGAAACTGGGTGTCCTGGCGCCCACCAGGGTGGGGTGGACCTCGGAGAGAGAGCACCTTGGTCAGGTTGCTCGGGACCATGTCTAGCCAGGCTCCGAGTATCTCCAGGGATGGAGACTCCACAACATCCTGGGCAACTTGGTTCAACATCTGGCCATCCACCTCATTAAAACAGCTTTTCCTTCTGTTTATGTGGAATTTCCATATTTCAATCCACGCCAGCCAGTAAGGCCTCATGCTGGCCACGGAGACCGATAGATGCCCAGGTGGGTGCAAAAATCCCACTTACGGGGTGCCCCCATTCCCAGGATGGGGGTGTTACCCTGAGACCCCAAACCAGGAGGCCACGCACCTTTCGAGAGGAGATGCAGATGAATATAAAACAAGAAGTTTGGAGATTCAACTCTTTTTATTATGGAAGTCTATAAAATAGCCACATGGATTATTATTTTTTTTTAAGATCACAAAATACACAACATCCATTTTAATATGCGACACATAATATTATATACATATTAAAAACCACATGACTGAAACACATGTTCACACGGCACCAATTTCATAACGAAAAACCCCACAAGTGCTTTTTTCTTTTTTTTTAATATTAAAAACAACTGTGATAAAACATATTAATATTTTTCCAGACAATGTTTACAATAAAGAGAAAAAAAATCATATTTTACTAAATAACAAATATTTAACAGCAAAATTTTATACTAAATATCTATTTTGAATTATAACAAAAATAGCACTTATAATAGTTTATAAAGACAGACCAAAAAAAATTTGTGTATAAAATAATATTATAGCAAATTGGACTGTGCTAAGAAAAAAAAAAACAAAACAATTCTGAGATTCAAAGTGCTTTATTCTGCAAACCCACTGCAGCAACTTTTTTAGTCAAGTTATATTAGTTAGGAATGGAGAAACAAAAGCATGACTTACTTATGCCTAGATTAAATACTCACACACACAAACATTATATATACACATGATGTAAGCATATATATATAATGGATGTATGCACCTTACATTGCCGCTCTCCGGTCAGCCACTCACTCAAAAGCATGTTTGGTTTTCACGTTGGGATGACGTTGGAAGTTCAACTAAAAAGTTCAGCAAAACCCTTCACTGATTTTCCGTAAGCTCAAGCGGGGCTGAGCCCTTTTGGAAAAGCCTGCCCAAGAGATTTTGCTTGCCGTAGCATGGCACGAAGCCACCCGTGAGCTTCAACTGGACCTTTTAACCTTGCTGTCCGTTCCTCTCTCCAGCTTTCCCCTTTTTCAGCCTCCTCTCTCCTCCCAGCACAGGTCTCTATTCCCCTGCAGGTCTCAGCTGGCAATGGGGGGCTCCTGAACAGCGCCTGGCTCTGGGTCTCTGCCCAACAGCGCCCCCCTGGCAGAGCATTCTCCACCTCCTGCCCCGTCCCCATGTCCTACAAGGGCTCGTCATCAGCAAAGACCATGGACGCCCTCACGTGCCACTTACCTTTCCCCAAATGTTTGCCCCTGGGACACTCGCCCCTTCCCACCGCATTCAGGTTTATGTTCTTTGCTTCTTTGCCCTGTAGGATTTTGATCGCGATTAAGCTCCTTTTATCACCAGCAAAATTTTCTCTCCGCCAGGGACAAGGAAAATACCTGAAATCTCAACAGTGCCTGAACCAGCGGTCTTCCACTCAAAATTTCCAGGCTGGCAAACTAGCTGAGCCTCTGCTTCAGGGACATGGTGCACATAGCCAGAGGCTCCTGAGACCTTGCTTTTGGGCTTGGCCCATTGTTTACCAACCAGAAGGCAAGGTCTGCATCGGAATGGCATCTCCTAGAAGACTGGGAGTTTTATTTCAGGTTAAATCACCCTGAAAATCAAGCCGCGAACCCTGGCATGAGTAGGGACTATCGGCCAGGATGCTCCTGGGGGGCTTCCGGCAGCTTGGCTGACAGCAATCCAACCTCAAGTGCTTCCCCTGGCTAAAAAACTGCCTCCCTCCTCCTTGCCCCCACCAGACGATGGGCTGGCAAAGGCAGCCGTCACCATCGCTCACTTCACACTTCCTTCGACCTTCCAAAGAGGCACCCACTCGTCAAAAGCACAACCTGCAAAGCAACCTGGTAAGCCACATCTGCCCCTTCACCTTTCTTATTTCAACTCCTCTGACTTATCTGGACACCTTTAAAGCAGAAAGCCAAGCTGACCACCCAAGCATGAGATCTTTTCCTATCACGGTTAGGAGAGGTCTCTCCATGGTCCTTGTCTTGTTCTTTCCACCTCGGAGGGCAGGAGTTGGGAGAGGAGTGGGGCTGGGCAGAGATGCTCAAGTCAGAGAGAGATCTCCCAGCCTGGTGCTTGGCTCTAGTCTGAGCCAAACGCCTGCCAGGGCACTCGGGGAGCTTTTGCTCTGCACCCACATGCAAGGCCATGTTCTCTTTCAACACAACCCACCCATCTCACATTCAACCCAAAAGCCTGTTGCATGCAAAAATAAAATAAAATAAAATACACCCACCCAGCAAATCAAATGCAAGGTACCTTGGTGGACGCTTGCTTGTGCCGGAGAAGCTTTGGGCAGGGCCCTTCTCCCAGGGTAGTGGTGGGATGGGGTGGACAGCTTGCAAGGAGCCCACCTCTTGCTTTCCTTCCTGCCAAGCTCTCCCATCGCCAAACAAAACCCAAACACGAGACAAACAATGCATACGTTGGCTTATTTATAGAGATCACCTTTAATGCAAATGCCTCCCGTGGAAGAGGACACACTGAAACGAGCAGCTCCGAGCAGGGCGGCTTTGCTCAGCGCCCCGGTGCTCCCAGAGCCGTGGTGGGTCGGTGGGGCCATGCAGTTTGGAAGCTGGTGCCTGCACCTTGAGGGAGAGAACAAAGGCACCGAAATGCCCCCAAAATGGGTGCCTCTGCCCAGGGAAGGGGCTGGTGAGGGGCTGCGGCGGGGGAAGGGGTGCACACAGGCTGTGTAGCAGCAGCAGGAAACTCAACGAGAGAAAAAAAGGACACCCCCACCCCACCCAGAGACCCAAATGCAAAATGCATTTTGCAAAATGCAAATATGCACTTGTCCAAGGCCTCAGAGGGACGGCTCACCATCCATTTGGCCCCAGACAAGACACCACAGGGTTTTTCGGTCCCGCAGTGGAGGCGAAACGGCAGCTCCCCCCCTCCCCAGCCTGCCCCAGCACCAGCAGGAGAGGGAACGGGCATCGCTCATCTCCCCCAAATCAAGGAAAGCCTCCAACGCCCCGAAACAAAAAACACAACTGAACAACTGAACAAAAAAACCCAAAAAACCAAAACCAAAACACTGTTATCACCAGCTAATTTAACACTGTTATAAAAAAAAAGATCAGAGGCCACCCAAGAGACACCCCGGGACGCCAGACCTCTGATCGTGGGCTGATTTCCAAAGCCTTTCCCGCAGTCAGGCCTTTGCAGCGCTCCTCCTCGCAGCAGAA